TCATCGAAATCCGTTGAGCAGTTTAGGCTACAAACATCCATCCAGCCATCCATCCATCTAAATTTTCGCGTTTATAATAATAATTAGTATAATTGACATTTGTGTGTGAATTTATTTAAAAAAAATCTTATTACTGCCTCTTTTTGTAACCTAACCAAATAAAGATATTAAAAGTTTCTTTAACCCCCGATTCATAAGTAAATACATATATTAAGAGTTTATATCTCTCAGTCTACAACGATATAAAAGGCAACTCGACTAAAGAAGAAAGTAGCTCAACATTTGACCTGGAAGTAATGTGCCAAATGTGAATTCGACGTAAACAAGTGAGTGCCTAGACGTGCATCTTGTATTCTTTTTGAGTATAAAAATATGGAAGCGTCAAGTGAAAAATTTAACAAGAAAATATGTGTAACATTTCAGAAAGTCTACGCTTGTGCATTGTGCACTTACAATATGATAAATTAACTACTCTCTTTGTGAATTTCAAAACAAACTCACTAACTTATAAAAATAATTAATCGGTCCATTATATTTGCTACACATAAGTTGGCTTGTACTACAATCTTACTATTATTATAAATGCGAAAGCTTACATAGATGGATGATGGATGGATGTTTGTTACAGGGTGTAGCTTAAACTACTTAACAAATCTTGATAAAATGTGATGAAGAGAATAGTCTGGAAGAACACATAGGCTACTTACTTTTGTTTTTTTTCTAATTCTAAGCAGACGGATTCGCGGGAGAGAGCTAGGAGGCTATAAAACAAATGGATAGTTTTATCATGTAAAAGTATAGGTAAACCAAAAATCAAGAGAAATGTGACGAAGAAAATAAAACGATATAAACAATAAAAAAGAAACCGTTGATTGAAAGATACTGTGTGGAAAAATGTCAGACACGCATAACCTCAGGCAAAGCTGATACACACAAAAAACGTCTTGCCTTATAAGCTTTAGGGCGATTCTAACAAATGGTTCGCAAGTACATCGTTTTTACGGATACTGTGATATTAAGTTTCATTTAATTAAATCGATATCATAATATTTCAATTCGCTCTCTAAGAAATTGGTAAAATGACAGCAGACAACTCAGCCTATAAATGTAAAAAGATACGCTTGCCTTTGGGTAACTTTAGAAGAAAAACAATGTGTAAAAGTGTCACTTGCGACTTGGCAACGTGAAATAAATTAAATTTACCGAGAGAACGCCGTCTGCGAGAAGTTCCCTTTTATTATCGGTCTCTGGAACATATAGAGTTCGTGTCTTTATGCCAAAGTTTTATAGCTCACCCTGTTGTCACCATAAATGTCTATAATTACGATATTTTAAAAGCTCAATAATCAATAACAGAATTACCTAACTGATTTTTACGACTATATCCATTTAATGAAACGTTACACGTTGTACGTACGTACAAAGAACATATTGATGTCCAGCGTAATGTAACGGCGTAACTTATTTCGAATAGCTAGTTATATAATTCATAATTTGACGAGATGCCGTCTAGTCACTCTACTCATACCTACTCATTTATAATTAGGTATGTTTATTCAATCAATAATCTTTCTAAAAATACGCAGAATCATCCTGAAAAAATTATTGAAGATAAAAGTAAAGTTATCGTAATATTTAGTCATATGGCTCGGGAGATAATGTATTATTAATTGCCGGAAATCTTAGGAAAAGGACCGGCAAAATGTTTCCCGATTGCGGAATTTTGCGCCGAGGAGTTTAATTTGATGAAGGACGGGCTCACGCTACATTAAATATACATTGCTACTTCGTAGTGTTTGCTGTTAAATATTCTAAGTTGAACATGTTAAATAAGTAAATCAGGAAGATCTGTCTCTCTCTCTCTCTCTCTCTCTCTCCCTCGGTGAACTGTAATTCACAAGGAAAATTCTAGCTTAAAAAAACATTACAGATTTAATAAAAATAAATTTTAAATTAACTCATTGGTTGATTTTTTTAGTGTATTCTTCTATTTCTTTATGGTTGAATAGTCTAAAGATTCTGGTACACGAACTGCCGATCTGTTTAGTTGTTATAGAGTGAATAAATAACATAAACAATTAACACAATTAACGGTTTTATGTTAGAAATAAATAGTATGGGAGATACTTTCATACATATATGAAATATCTGATGGTTCTTCATTCTTTTTAATTACTTTTTTCTTCTCTCTGTTAAGATACAACGTAACTCTCGAGTGGTTTATTAAAAAGTGTCTTTATCCTTTGGTGCAAGCTGCGTTCTGATTATCTTTCCGTTTTATAGTTGGTTTTATTGACTTGTGACAAAAAAAAACTTTTTTTTGTTAAGCAAAATATTAAATACCCTAACTGCCCGGAGGAATGTGGACCCATTTTCCATAGAAATGAAGCTAACGCCAAGTTTTTGAACGTCAAAATGCAAAGTGATTTATACACTCTTCCGCTTCATTTTTTTCTAAAAGATTTACCTTTCATGACGTATACGATGTCATAATACATAATTATTTAGTTCACCTATGGCCAATGGCATCCAACACGGTTCTGAATGAGGAAACAAATATTCAGAAATTGGTTTGAGTCAAGTTGTGTAAATATGCGGGTAAACATATTTTTAGGTAATTGCGATTAATATTTATATTATAATAATATTGCGCATTTCAATTACTTCAAAAAAATAAAAAACGTTAAAAAACACACGTGTCGAGAGACGTAAAAAAACGTAAAATCCAAGTATTGCCATAACATAATTAAAGGCTCGCGTACCCAGAGAGTTTCCGCGCGTTTTACGGGAAAACAAATTACATGGCGCTGAAAAAACACGACCAATTTAATGTACTGTTATTTCCTTTTATCCCAACGTAGGGGAGTCGAGTGGTACTGTAATGCAATTTAATTTGCGAAATTTAATAAATATTTTAAAATTCCACATCCTTGCTTGGAATTTTTCGCAGTTACTTACTGAATTATAAATTTACCGAAACAAGAGCAAGAAAACCGGGTTATTTATTCATGTATAAATAAGCGAATTTAAATGATTATTAAACTGAGACCAAATCATTCTTTTGGAACTTTTTAAACTCAAATTTTTCAGCGTGCAAACTTTATATTTACAGTCATATAAAGTTTGCAAGCTGAAAAATATATAAAATCAGAATTATGATAACCTAACCGCATAAGCGAAACCGCGGTATAATTTAGCCATCTTCAATCTTTATGGTTACCTAACATCTTCTTCATACATAATAAGCAAAAGCAAAATAACACTGAAACTCATTTACAAGCTTAGTTCAATTTGACGTTGAGGAAAATTAACTTGCTAAGGTACGTTATATATATTCATACGTTCGAGAATAATTAAGAGGGAACAAGTCTCATCACTTTGATGTTGGCCAATTTTACGATTCGTCGACAGGTAAATTATTTTCACAAACCGTTTCTAAATATTCAAAGAAGCCAGACTAATAAGAGGACTTTATTAAACATCATTAAAATTGTTAAGTCAACGTTCACAAATATTTTTATTACTTAACAATTAACATAAATTGGAAGAAACTTTCAAGAACTTTCTTTTATTACGAGTGCTTCCCCACGTTTCATTCTCTTTCCAACTAACAATAATTTATTGTGAGCACATTTACGACTCCGACGGTTAATAGGTCAAACGGAGTTCAGGAAATAATAAACATTCTACTTTTGATTATTATTTTGTATAAATCGTTGCTGTCACGATCAATTTCATTAATTATAATTTGGATTGAATGAAGGACGTGATAGCGAACCCTTTATAACTAAGTGGCCGTCCTGATAAGGGTTTTAATTAATTTCCTAAAGTTCAAACTTTTATTGACCGTTATAATTAAATTGATAACGGGTTAACATATTTATATAACATATTCACTTAGAGCATTTACCGGAAAAACTCAACTCTATTATAAGTCAAAAATAATTGTATAATTTAACGACAAAAACAAATATTACCCAATCACAGATAATACAATACTATGCTGGCCTCTAACATTATTACTAGTAAGTACGTCTAAGTGTATGTTACTTTTTAATTGCGGCAGGAATACAACCAAACGAAGGCATGTGAGATGCAATTTCGCCCTCTGTTAATTATTTTTACGTCTTTCAGTACGTCACATTTTCTTATGAATTTCAATGAAATCGGATCTTTACGAAGACACATATAAAAATAGAATAATAACCGTTCGGTTAAATTTTTTCTAAATTACTATTGTAGCATAACCATTTGCTTCAGAGAAATCTTACAGTACAATCATTATAAAATTAATTCAACCACACCCATTCCATCAGCGAGATTGGATTGCCTTTTTAAGTCTTCAATTGTAGAGACAATGCGACTACGGGGATAAGCTAAGGGTATTTTATAGTCTAAACCTCTCTAATATTCTTTAATTAAATCCCCACAGAACGCCGAACGCATTGTTTTTACATTCATAGAACGTCACAAAATATTTTCATATACCCTGCTAATTTGATTTGCAGCCATCTGTTAAGACGATGCAAAATTATTGCTTTTAACGGGAACACTGAACATCAATATTGCTAACAGATGTGGAATCACGTCCGTCAACGAAAATTGTTTACTGATCGGCTGCTAGCGTTCGAAATGACCGTGCCAAATGAGTACGAGGAAATTGATTTTATCATTCTAACAGTCAATGTCTACATAAAGTACTTTGAGCTAATATCACTAGTCATTAGAAAAAGTGTGTAGCTTTGGCGATTACAGTGTGTTCTTTTACATCCTGCATAGTGACCGTGTTCATGGTTTACGACGTTTAACAGGAATTTGCAGATGATAGATAGGATTTATTTAATAACAATGTGAGAAAATTCGTGAGTATAATAGCTAATGAATATGGATTTTCACAGTCAATCGTATTGTATGTCGATACCGCGGACGTGGTAGCGGTGGCGGTTTTAGGGTCGGGGGCACGTTGCTTGTTGCTGAGCACCATGTTGTATTGGTTGCAGTGAGTGTAAGCGTGGCGGCGACCGGCTGGCGACGCCGCGGATGTCGCTGCTCGGCAAGCCGCTCAGCTACCGCGCCACGCGACGCGACGCGCGCTACCGACGCCTGCAATCCAAGTTCTACAACTTCCTTGAACGCCCGAGGGGAGTCAAAGCCGTCCTCTATCATATGATTGTGTAAGTTCGTACACCATATTACATTTTAACCTCAACTCTATAAACCAACCCTGATGGCTGAGGTCGCAAATATGTTTAAAAAATAATTTAACTTATACTAAATTTATTAATAAATATTACGCAATGGAAGCTACTTAGACAAAAGCGTTATAGGTGAGATAATATTTTTAAGACGCCAACCCCAAGCGTTAAACAAACATTCCTATGAACACATATCAATCTTATAAAAGCAAATTGACGCAATATTGTTTGCAAACCAACATTGCTTTTACATGACATCATAAGATGATAGCAATCAGTTAGTGGTGTGCGTTGTCCAAATTAATTTAGCCAAGCTAAAACAAATACGAATGGAATAGACTGCTGGAATAACATATTAAGTCAACATCTAATACCGATAAGTATCAGACATTAGTTACGAAGAATCGTTAACGTAATTCTTATTTATTTTTGTCTCCGGCATACATACATTAAGACTTGTTAATATCGCTACGTATTTCTAAAAATAAATTAATACCAAACTGAAAATTACAATGACTGTATTCATGTATGAAAACTGACCGATATGTTGGTATAGTATAGAGCGGCAAACTACGACTGATTTGCGCTAAATCTCTTTTTTACAAAAGCACAAAACACATGATTATAATGTAATCTTTTCGATTTTATCGAAACTTCGTAAACATAATGGTTTGAACGTGGGTGGCAATGTTATGAGAGGCGGGCCAAGAAAAGTTAAACAGATTAGCCGTGGATAGGAAATTAGTTCTAACAAGTCTGGAATACAAAAAGAAAATATATTTCATTTAAGATATTTATTTGACTTTTATACTTCTATAAAAATACGGAGCACAATAGAATAAAGTAAACTACGAGTATGACAAATTGTTCAAGCTATAAAAATACTTTTATTTATCAAGTGACTATGTAATCAGATAAACTAAATATAACTTTCCGAGGTTTTTTGTCCTTATCGTTTTTCTGATCCCCAGAGATTATTCGTGTAACAGTTTAGAAGTTTTCATATTTCTATAGGCGACAATAATTGGATCACAAAATTGAGTAAGTCAACAGAAAAAAAAATGCTTTAACATTTTTCAGTATCGTTGTTTGCCTTTTAAATGTGTTGTCCAAAATATTATACTGTTGTGGTGTTGAATGTAATGTAAAAATTAATTAAAAACGTAAACCGAATAAAGTAGAATAGAGGGTGAATTCCGAAACTTATATATTCTAATTTTGTTACCAAATATCTTCTAATTGAGCGGTAAGGTGTAATTGTTAACTACCGAAAGAACCATAGTTAAGCTTTATAGTCAATTATTCAAACAATTATATGTATTTAGGTTCCTGATGGTGTTTATGTGTCTCTCGCTGTCGGTTTTCTCTACGATCGAGGAGTACGAAGCTAAAGCAGGCATCGTCCTGTTTTACATGGAGACCGTAGTCGTCGTCTGGTTCGCTATAGAATTTATTTTAAGGTAACAAAACCATGTTTTTCTTTATTATAACTATTCTATAGTAATATTATTAATTTTAAAGTTTAGATGAATGATCATTAGAGTTCGTAGCCTAAACGGGTGAACGGATCTCGATGAAATTTGGCATAGATGTCGTGGATAGTCTGGAAGAGCACACAGGCTACCTACTTTTTTTTTAATTCCACGTGGACAGAGTCGCGGGCGAAAGCAAGTACATTATAAATGTAGTCCCGTAGAAGTCAGAATTTAGTTATCAGTCGTTGAGGCGCCTAGGTTTTTAAATCCAAATTAAAAGATGGTAAGTCAATAAATAAATGCCATCTTTCTTTTTTCTGTGCAGATGATAAGTATATTTCTTACAATATAAAATGTTATAATCTAATAAAGGCGATAATTACCAACCATCTTATATAGCAAGATAAATGTTGTTAATTGATTTAATTTAAGAACATAAATAAAATGTCTTTTACTCTTCCTTTCCCATTTGTCTGGTTATTACACTAACTGTGGCCAGGGGAAAGACACTTTATTATGCCATGACATTATTTGAACAAACGTTTCATTATTATTTCCAAAAGTATAATTGACAGTAAAATATTCAAGCACATTTACGCGCGAGCTATCTTAATTAGCAAAGAGTTGTTTTAAACAACGTCAAGACGAGATGACGTAATTGTGTGGGGACGCTACAACCGTCCCCCCATCCTCCCCTCGAAGTAATTCATTGCCTACTACAGATGGATCGCGAAGCCTCCTTTCTACATTAAGTTTGTATTTTTGTCCTACTTTTGGTACGAAAATGTCACGAGCCACCAGAGTTATAGGAGGAACTTGTAGACCGTGTTTGCATAAAGGCCGGTCCCTGACATATACAATTTAATTATGCACACCACAAGTTCGCGTGTTTAGTACGTGTAAACTTGCAATTCACGAGGGAGACGAGTAAACTAAAGGAACAACACAACTTTAATAAGGTGCCTACTCTCTAAGGTGTCTTGTACTTACAAGTTAGATGTCATAATTAATCGTTGTTATGAATAATATTCTAATTCCTCAATAGGCTCTGGTCATCAGGATGCAGGTCCCGATATCAAGGATCAATAGGACGGCTAAAGTTTTTGAAGCGGCCATTTTGTATAATAGGTATGTTGCAATAACCGTATTATCATTAAATTTGATACAACAATCGTAATTTCAGGCCTTATTTCTGCTGAATACACACAATAATTTTGTCGTGTAAACGAAAAAATGACTGCCTCGGGTAAAATAAATAATATCAACTTTTTTATTGCTTTTTATGCGAAACATTTCCGACGTAGTCACGTTCCGTCTATAAAGCGTGACGAAGTGACCCTATTTCAGGTGCGACCAATCTGACCTTCACATTTCGTCGTCCCCTCGAACAGCAATGCCGTGCGACCGCGGTCGCGCTCTCTGGGGACTCCCGAGACCGCACTAGCCGGCGACATTGCCACATGTTTTACTATTCGCCTTTATTACCTACATACATGTGTCTGTTTTAGATATTAATGCTGTTGCCATTCTTAAGTGTTTTTATTCGAACACAAATTACAAGCCTGAAATAGACGGGACATAAATAAGTAAACAATTTTCTATTTCTAAAAACATAAATAAGTAATTTTCATGAATATCCCAAAGGCCTTTTTAGGTTTTAACCCTCATATCACGCATCAATTTGCGCCTGGCAAGAATTTCAGCTATGTGTTTAATATGCTACTATACTTTCTGTCACTTCCAAAATATAAATTGCTGTTAATTCACAAAGAGCGTTTAAGTTCTTCTTTAAGATAAAATATATAAGTAAATTTTAAAGTATATACTTATGTATAAGTTTATAATATAAGATTATCAAATTTGTTTATACTTTATCCAGCACACAGTTGTGCTCCCACTTGTTTGTTGTACGGAGTTTTATACATTCTTATAAAAACATTTATAAACAAAGTAGGAACAAAAATTCCGAATATTTTTGCTTCTAAACAAACATTACAAACATTATTTTAGTACTGCGCTTATCTGACGGTTTTTCTAATACCGTGTCACATGAAAATATTAAATTAAGTATCATTTGTTAGATGTAACAACAATAATGGCGTCGTTGGTGGTGCTGGGGATGGGATCGTCGGGGCAGGTGTTTGCGGCGTCGGCGCTGCGGGGTTTGCGGTTTTTTCAAATACTGCGCATGGTACGGATGGACCGGCGCGGCGGCACATGGAAACTGCTCGGCTCCGTAGTTTATGCACATCGACAGGTAAATTCATTCATGAACCACGCCAATGAAACGGAAATTCATTATAAATAGTACTCAACAGCGAGCACGTGTTCCTCAATGAAAGAGTAACGTAATCCCTCTATAATTAGATGCTATTTTTATATCGAACAATAATGAATGAGTGTTTCACCATTGTTTGGACATAATGAACGTTTATCAAGGCACGGTTGTGAACACGGGTATTGTTTTGAGTTATTTACACTAAAACAGATGTGCTGGAAAAGCTTCAAATAGATTTTAAAAATTAAGTGGAAGTACGGCCGCGGACAGGTTAATTATCAGAATCGAAACAACTTGGCCGAACTTATTATCTAGCAAGTTACATTAAACAGGTGCGCGGTGGAGAATGATTTATCAAATCGACGTAATATGTAGGTGACGGTTTTGTATAACTCAATCCCATTGCCGGGAGGATAATAGTATCTACTCGTACCAACTCAGGCTCGTTATGTGACTATTTATAATAAAAATTGAACAGCTACAGCGATGACATTGCCAAATGTAGCATAATAACATGCTATAGAGCTGCTGTCGATTGAAGTTTGTGTTGCGTTTGTGTAGGCGTGATGAGAAAGCGGAACGGAACTGGTAGCAATTTCCTTCGTCTGCCAAATAGGTCGGAGTTATACAAAACAAGGCGAGACTCAATATCCACTCACAATTGGTTAAGGTTAAAGTTGCATGATCACATTCCTGAGCAAATAAGACGGGCCTCGAGCAGCATTTCGCGCCCTTCCTGCAATATTGACTCTGCAAATAGGCGCCCGTTTCCAATGATCCCTTAAGCGTAGGGATGAAAGAATCGGAAAAAGCAAATAACTGATACAATTTTTATTTTCTTTTATATTTTAGTAAGATTTTACATTTAATTTATTTTGATTTCTTCTTGTAAGACTCTAAGTATAGCTTTAACTTAAGTCAGGGAACTTTGTATACGAAATATTACAATAAGACGAGTATTCGTCAATGTAAACTTTTCCTACGTTGTTTGAGTACGAGCAGTCTTCAACACTTCGGAGACCAATGATCTGTGATATCCAATTTCGAAAGTGTCCATCCAGTAATAAATCATGTGTAAGCTTTTTCTTGACCGTGAGCCGTGAGGGAGATTGGACACGAAATATATTTATTTATTGCTTCCTTCCGCGTCTGCTCTATTGTTCCTATTATTTCACTTTTTCCTTGTTTAGATATCTTCTGGGTATATAAATAATAATTTCCGCAATGAAATTAAATTAAAATTTTAGAATAATTTTAGCACAGATCACCTAGAATTTAATTTAGTAAATGTTAATTTGGTTACTTTAACAACTAAAGTTATTGACTTGTTTCAGGAATTAATAACAACTTTGTACATAGGCTTCCTCGGCCTTATATTCGCATCATTTTTGGTTTATTTAGCAGAAAAAGACGTCGCCGACACAAAATTTAAGAATTTCGCTGAAGCTTTATGGTGGGGTGTTGTGAGTATATTTTATTACTTATTGCTTTAATCTCGGATTACTTTCTATTTCCTTTAAGTATTTCTTTGTTATCTACTATGTTTGGTCTCTAAAGTAGTTTAGCACAAACTTCGATGAAAGTAAATCAAATTTGTAAATGAATATAGTAAAATGAAGGGTAACCTTGAATTGCCTCAGATCACGCTGTGCACGGTCGGGTACGGCGACATGGTGCCTCAGACTTGGCAGGGGAAATTCATCGCCTCCTTCTGCGCGCTATTAGGGATATCGTTCTTCGCTCTACCCGCTGTGAGAATCACTTACTTAAATCTTTATTGTGTCGTAATTGCGGCAAACAAAATAAACGTTGAATTAATGATTGTTACATTGCAGGGTATATTAGGATCCGGTTTCGCGTTAAAAGTGCAGCAGCAACAGCGACAGAAGCACATGATTCGGCGCCGGCAGCCAGCAGCCACGCTCATACAGGCGCTGTGGCGGTGCTACGCCGCCGACGAGCACTCCATGAGCATTGCCACTTGGAAGATACACCAGATACCACTGCCCAGCCCACAGACGAGGTGATTACACTGCTATAAGAAATCTTATTATTGTCCTGAAAATATTTTATTGCTATATTGTAGTACTATAGGAAAATCATACCTCAATTCAGAATGTAAGTAAGTGCTTTTGCTGGAAGCTACTGTGGAAATGGAATAACTAGTGTGTATGTTTAACAGTCGAGTTATGAGTGCGTCATTCAAGAACAATGCATCGTTTGTGTCGCGGCTGCCGACGATCCGGCGACACAAAAGCACGTCGCTGCACTCGCCCGCGCCCGCGCCCGCGCCGCACGCCAAGCACCGCTACGACGTCAACGCCAGCGCTGAAAATCTCGGTGAGTTACACACCACTCAGCCATTGTTGAACTACAACAAAATGAATCAACACGAGACTTACCAACCACGACCGACAACAATAGGTACGTCACAAAACAAACTTATTTATGTTGTATCGTAATAGTGAGTACTTTTTCATTCATCAAAAATAACACGACTCCCAAGTTTTTTCAAAAATTCGCGATGTTTATAGACATAGATTGTTTGTAGTTGGCTTTAAATGTTTTGTGTATTGGTTGTAATTAGGTACGTATTTCATATAAAATATTATTTTATTATAGGAACGTCACATATATCAAAAAATTAACACTTTATTAAAAAAAATTGTTTCGTTACCACAAATATACCTTCAAAACAAGTAATAAGAAACGCTACGCAAACTCCGAACAATCAGACTAACACATGTAGTTAAAACAACAACAAGCCCTGTCCTAATAATACCAGAGAATAAAACAATGCACGTACAATGCAGAATTGTTTTAAACACCGTCATTGAGAGACAAAGTACGATCACTCAAAGCTCATAATTTTGAGTTAATGAACAAACACAAGCGACGACAGAGACATAGATGAGGCGCGGCGCGGCGCGGCGTGGCGCGCGTCGGGCCACACACACAACACTTCGTTGTGAAATGTGAATGGAGGTGATATGATATTGCACTGTTTCGTAGATAATCGTACGTCGGGCGGGGACCATGCGTGTTGTCTACTCCATTGTTGGAAAAGCTGCTTTCAAGGTTCTTTTCTTCATTTTTAAACGGCACTATGGCATGACAGTTACAGTCGATAAACTTTGCTGCGTTTCTTATTAATTCTTAATTAGAGAGTACTTTCCAGAAAAATGTGAATACACAATAAGCGAATATGTGGACGTGCCCTCGACCGGACTGAGATCCGACCTCCGGCGATAGTGGCCACGTCTTTAGCTCCAGTCACGATTGCTGATATCTACTTACCTTCTACTTCCTTCTTTATTTCACTTTATTAAAGAAAGAGATGCACCCGCCTAGTTGAAATACCGCTTAGAAAAACTTCAAATACTGCAACCAGAAGCTTCAAGTCTCGAGTGAAACAATGGCTTCCCAGTTAAATGCTTCGCGTAAGAGCTAAGGTAGAGATAAAAGATAATATTGATTCTGAGGAATGAAAGAATTCATTCGGCGCAATTAGAGTGCGGTTTACACGATCGACTTCCAGTTTATAAAGCCGACTAGTGTTGTTCATATTATTGGAATGGCTTTGTTTAAAGCTTGTATTTTAGTTCGGTTGTTTTCTTTCAACTGAACGGTACCTACGATATTTACACTGCTTTGCAATTATTTATGCATGCCAGATAGCTAATAGGATTTTTGTAAAATAATGGACTCGTTCCAAATATAGGTAGCTCATTTATATCTAGGTTTATTTTAGGTTTATGATGTAGTATGTATTTTATATAAAATATTTGTTATATACCGATCCACTTGCAGAAATATTTTTAAATAATAACCATTAATGTCCGCCTGTCCTCGCTTTGTCATTCCCCAAATTCATTACAAGTTTTTATATGCGTTTGTTATATACATATTTAAATTTGTAACTAAAGGACAACGTTACTTTGTTAGTAAGTATGACAAACTTAAGGTGTTTTTTTTAGTTCTGATAAAAATAACAATTCAGAGAAGCATTTTCCACGAGTGTTAAATCGTTCTCTAATGACCCATTATTAACGCTATTTTAGCTAGTGTATTACATACACCACATCTATATCACACATTGGTTTAAATTGCGGTTAAAAATATGAAGATATATTGATCCTTATTCATTGCATTCAATTTATTAAAAGTTATGTAAGGAGAAAAATTTGCGAAGGCGTTCGCTGACTTTGCTGAGTTTTTATAAATTGAATATTAAAAACTTCTCTGGCTGGCAAGAAGTTTTGCAGCGAAAAATATATCTTGATAATATTACAGTATACAGCACAAAATATTTACAAATTTAACTTAAATCAAACTGTTAACTTTATATTACTTATTGATAAACTGATTATCTGAATAATAGAACTTGTTATACGTTATTTTCAAAATTCATTAGGTTATTTCGTGGCGTAATCGATTTTATAATCTGCAATGTCATAAATGCGTGTTGTCATTCGTGGGTCAATCTTTATTGCCGACATTAAAACTTTTACGATTGCTTACAACCTCTTATGTCTGTCTTTAACATAGACGGAGATGGATATGCGATTTATTGATTTGTATAACTATTTTGACTATCTTCCTCGCAAACTATTTAGATTTAGATTAAATTATTCAAATGTCATGTTTCACGTTTGTATACTAAATTGTAGACAATATCACCTTTCTTATTTAATCTTCAGCTTCTTTGTGTTCAAAAAAATATGACGATTATCCAACTAACATACCCGCGGAAGCTGCCAATTGTCTATCCACCAACTCTTCCGACCACTCGAACACAAGCTTTCATTTTATTGTAAACGTTAGTATATCTTTGTTGGAATATTCGGCCATTTTATCACCGTCATGACTTTCTCGATAATTGTTTATATTATAAACGGTATAAAAATAATTATTATAGATAAAAGAATCATAATTAAATTAATTATATCTAGGGTTTCTTTGCAATGCGAGCGACAAACGATTACTTTAAGAATCACACGTTCGCATAATTTGAAGCTCATGTAGCACACTAACCGCAGTGCAAGAGCACGTCAGACTTCGCTTTGCAAAATAGCACCAAGCGCTCTCATTATGAGAGCCCGCTTGTGGCTTGTCGTGCTAAAGATATGCTATTTTCTGATATTTTGTTCTACTACTGTGACATGGAGAATAGCCTTTCATTAAAATTATGAGATGCAATTATACTTTGTGAAATAGGATTAAGAAATTGTAACGAAATCAAGTTTTTTTTTAAATAGTTGGTTGAGACTCGAATACTTAAGTTGATTCTTGATTCTACGACTTATAATGTTGTTAACTAATCTTGCTATCTATTATGCTGCTTCTACGGCTAATATTTTAGAATCTCAATTACATTTTGATAGGAAAACATTTTTTCTTTGGCTACGTATTATGGCGAAAGCTATACAACATATTTTCACGTAGTTTTATTGGGTCGCAAATATTGTCGGAGGTAAGTTTATTACTCTTGCCCCGACATAAATATTAGCGAGAAATATGCCAACGTACTTACTCAGTATCAGTATTTACAACGGCATTTAAGAAGGAAATTAAAAATATCCCCCGCAAGATATATTCGAAAACAGGAACAATGAAATGAAGAAGCTTTCAAATGCAAATAAATGTACGAATGAATATTAGTACGTTACCTTTAGAAACAAATTAGTAGACAGCTTAAAACCAGTATAATATAATGTGTAGTTGAATTAATTTCAATGTGATACATTTGCACAATTAAAATTGAGTGCTGCCCCTGGTTTCGTACAACGCGGCTGACGGCTCATGGCTGCCGGCTTACGTCAGAGCTCACCGCACGCCGCACTCGCCTGTTTGATAATCTCTGAGTGACACTTGACGCTGGGCCTTGTTAATTGTAGCATTGAGGCGAAGTTTTTAGTAAAATTTAGATTTTTCTAGTAGAAAAAGTTTTTAGTTAAAAAAAATACTTTAAAAAACATTAGAACAGCAATGGCTAACAATATTGTGGAACCCTGCTGGAAACCATATATGTATGATTTCCTCAAAGCAATATAATATAGGTTCGTCTATTACGGTTGAACTATCGTTATTACAGATATTGATTTTTTATAATGAACTCTTATTATTAAGTACTCTTTGGTGCTACGCAGCGTAGTTACGTTCTACGGCCCCTCTACGATAAACTCGGTGCTTCTTTATTTCCCATTGGCTTAGATATATACATTTAAATATGAAAACATAAAATTTAGAAACAAAGGATCAAGAACATCTGAATAAGATTGCCTGAAGTAAATATTAAAAATATTAATTTTGACTTTGGCTTAAGTTAGATTCTTTACAAAATCTTAACAGTATTCTGGATTCTAAAGAATTTATCTTTATATATTGAATAACTCCTTTTTTGTTATATGCGAGTAGTTAAAACTGTGAAGGAATGCAATTAAATTGGTTTATATCGGCCACAAAGACTATTAAAGACTAAATACCTAGCGGTGCATAAATTTTATTCAATATATTACTATTTTGTCTTTTATATTTATGGTAATAACTAACGAAAATATATAAATTGTCACGAAACGGATTTATATAAATCAATAACTAATGAAAAGAATATATCCTGATAGATGAAAATATTACATACTTAAATTAGGGAGAAAATAATAAAAAAAACATATTGGCTCGTAATACCTATTTTTATGTTCATTAGTCTCTTCTTTTATAAATAACACATATTCATACTATAACTAAGCTATTACAAATCATTGCAATAATCTAAAATGTAAATCACTGAGCGCTTACGATAACTTAAGTTATTAATATAATTGTATTCACTTGTACGATAAATTGAACTTAATTAAGTCGAGAAGCTGACGGTGACAGTTAGTAATTTCTTAATAGTTAAATTAAACATTAAAGTTTGTGACATTAAGTGCTTAATCTAAATTGTTGTTACGCTACAGTACCTACAAATAAATCTTTTTCAAGCAACTATTAGATGCTTAAAATATTGTCAATTTTTACTTCCAAGATAACGCTTGAGAAAATGCGTCTATTATTATAATTATTAGATGCGTGAATTTGCTGTACATTACAAGTAGTGAATTGTTACGTTTTTTTTTTATTAAGTAATTGTTTTAATATGATACGCTACGTTGTCATCGAATCATTTATTTTCCTTATCAGTTAATCTCGAGTTGACCTCGGAGCTAAAGGAACAACTAGCGCGATTTAAGTAAGATAAAAGGGTCAAACGGCTTAATGTACGTTCGGAAGTGGCTCTCGAAAATAAGCGTTCCTAAGCGGCGACGGGCGGAGGGCGACGACGACCCGTACAATTTGCTGACCACGAACCTTGCTCACTTGGGGCTATTCCCACAACTACATACTCTTAAAATTAGATCACTAAGGTCCAAGTATCGACCAAAACTAATCTTCATTAAGTGGAATCTTGTTCCAGTAAGAAGACTCTGAAACTTTTATTGCCCAGAAGCATATAATTTCACAAATACTTTAAAACTACTACAACTGCAATAACTTAATTCCTTAGTTTGCCAAATACTGACTTTGGAAAGAAACAAAGAAAACTGTGAATTTTCTTACTAACAGGCGCTACTTCTTTATCCAAAAGAAAGTCGCCGTCTTACTTTTATAATTTTATTAAAAGGAAAAAAAAACTTATTTTTCTTTTCTACATCTTTTTTAAATAGTGACTTGTAATATATTTTATCACCTCATGGAATAGGTATTTGTAGTTATTGCAATATCTAGTTTTACAGATAAGTCAGGTGTTTCCCGCTAGTCGTAAAGGTTCATCGAATGACGTAATATCGAAACGAAATACGTAAACAAGTCACTGGTACAATCTAAATGTAATCTTATTGTTATTCCCATAAGGTTATTTATTCCTAACCCTGACATATTGAAGACATTTCCTTTTGATGACGCCTTTTTGCAACTAAGGGTTCAATGTCGAGATAAAACCTTTCAAACTTCGTACTAAAGGAAAAAGACATCACAACTTAAATTTATTACATGTTTCTTTTGGAATTAGTTAATATGTTACTTTCGCGTTCTTTTTCACATAATTACAATGTTCGACATAAGTGACTGTATGAAACATACATACTTATTAAGATAAAAAAGCAAGTTTAAAGAATTCACTTAATTTTGAACGCGGGAAGCCAAATAACACTATTTCATGTAAATAAAGATTATTTCGGCTTTTACTTAATACAAAACGAATTTGATCACACAATTACTGGGTATATTCCGTATTCTTTCCAATTTATTAAATGCAAAAAGCTACAGTGTGAAACATACGTTCTCAGTTCATTGGCTAAATAATCGATATGAGGCGCAAAGACACTGGTGCGAAAGCAATATTACAAAAAGCAGAAAAAAAACTGAAGCTTTGACTACAGTATGCTATTGCCCTACATGTACAAAAAAACTTCACTAACATGTTTTACAACGATATTTTTCAACTCTTTAAAGTAAATACTTGTACAATTTAAAATCTATTATGAATTTAATCTCAGTACTCAAATTTAATTCCGGCAAATGGAAAATGTCTGAGTGGTTCAGGATGCCGACCTAAATAAAGTTCTTTTGACTAAGATATTCAAGTTAGTTTATCCAAGTATTAAACTTTGTAATACTTGAATTGAAATGCAAACGATTATCCTCTGTGATATATTTCTTAAGATTAAATGTTAATGTAGGTATATCGGATGTCATTCACCATCGGTTACTTCAAGAACTTCTTTACTTACGAATCAAATAATTGATCGAAAACTTCTATTCGTGGGTATCCGCAAATGGCATGCCTCGACATTCAACAAGTTGTCAACTAAACTCTCAATAAGCTATTGACATACTCGTACTCCGTTACTTGATTATTACCAATAAGTACGAGCCCAAAACTTGTTTCTACCATATTACATGTTGCTAACTAGCTAATTTGATTTGATTTTGATTCAATCGTATTTTATTCTTTCCATCAATTAAATTTAAATTATTTTAACCGTTTATAATTTGACTAGAAAAATCTTAAACTGTTTGAAAATTGGGAACTGAAGTAATTTTTCAAATCTACAACTAAATGATAGGAGATTTCATAGCTTCTTTTTTCATTAGATTTTCCCTTGCGGGAGTTTTGTAATGAAAACCTTAACGAACCAATTTTTTATGTCCTCTCTTATTAGAGATTTCACACTGATATCCCAGTCCGCCTCTTCAACGGTATTAAGTTAGAATAATTATTTATGCGTTAAGATAAAATCGTAATATCTGAATTGCTAAAAATTCAACACTTAGAACGCATCAATGTTATATGTTTTAAATAATGAAATAAAAATTTAAAATGCTTGTTCTTTTTTTTTACTTTAACCCAGTGTATTGATAAATATTATGTAAACAACATAAAAGAAAATGAATACAAGAATGCTTTTATAATAAGAGAGAAGGGTGGATGAGAGCCAATTCTAAGAACGGTTTTCCAAACAATAGAAAGTATTTGGCATCACCGACAATTCCATGCAACAAGTCACAACTCTAGGCTCTACATTTTCTATACAAAACATGATTTTCTCAAAAATCTTTCTACAAATTACTTAGTCTTTTTATTGTGTGTACATGGTGATAATGTACACAAAACGTTAATAGAGCCTATTGATTAAGTAAAATATAAAAAATCATACTATTCAGGAAAATTATATAACAGCTGGTTTTTATTGAATTTACAGTTTATGGTAAAAGCATAGGCACGAGTACACCAAGATCGTTAGCACCCTGAGTAAGAAAGAGATACAAAATCGATCGATAGTTTGCTTAGACATTAACCGCCAACCACTGCATTGACCTCATTATTTAGGTGTTCTTTCAATGCAGTAAAAAAGAGTCGAATTAAAAATGTCACATCCTCGTGCGTTTGATTTTTTTTTTGTTAAAATCAATATTACCCTTAATAAACAAATATTATGCCAGTAATAGAGTGTTCACATTGTTTGCTAAACAAAACCGCAACGTTAAATGAGTTTTAATGACGGGGAAACTTCGTTGCAAAGTAACGTGTTCAGAAAATGGCAACATGGTGCCCTTTTAGTTTTATAATTAAAATTTTCCCTCCTACATTTATAAAATCAATCGATTAACATACTTTGAGAGAATGTTCAGTCAGTGATAGCCTGTCGCGTGCAGTTGATACCTAAAATAATTCGAATGAATATACTTAATTTCCGATAAGTGTATAATTGTCGGAAATTACATTTTATCACGTGAATATGTTGCAAGAATCCTAAAAACAGAAAATCATTAGTATAAGCTGACTGAAAGATATACAGCGCAAATAAACGTGAATAAATGAGATACAAATAATGTAAAAAATACATCAGTCACTGTACCTACGTTCAACGCCTCGTGAAAACTTCCCGTGTTCTTCCAGCGAAGTATTTGTTAGCAAAGCTAAACAATTTTACCTTAACTCCATTCATCTTTGTTTAATGAAATTGGAAACTTTATAAAGTTATAATCGATTTTAAAGCGGGATATCTAGAAGGTTAAATGTAAAATGATAATAAAGGAATTGCTATAACATTGTTTAAAAAATAAAATTAGTTAAAAGGCTGTCTGAGCTTAAACTATAAATAGAACTAAATTTATCATAATAATTCATTACTTGGAATATGTCAACCTTATATGTCTCATAATGATTTATTAAAATATATAACTTCTTCTGGTCCTTAAAAAGCTGTACATAGTAAAGGGTTTGACAGGCGGACGGGCGGATTACTAATAATAGACGTTTGAAATAAGAAATAACACCGCAAACTGCTTAGGATTTCCATCATTTTAAGGTGAGGACGTACATATCTATAAAGGCCACGAGTTAGTTTAGCAGACGGAAAACAGATTAGATGATTGACAAAGTGTGTGCGGTGTTCAAGTTAGTATAATATGGGTTGGCAGGCTCGAGCCGTCCGCCGCACGGCCGGCCAGTGCGCGCTCGACCCGTCAACCCTTCGCACAGCGAGGACTCGGTGGCTGAAACGGCGCTCTCCAAACGAAACTCCGACGGTAAGGACAAAAGCTACACCGTCTCGACTCTTACAAAATACCTGACGCAACAGATTAAACACGCGCAAAATATTGCTCAGTACTCTTTAACTTACTTACCAACTTACTATACTATAGGAGGAAGATAGTCAAAATGTCTTTGACTTAACACCTTAGATCCACAAGGTGCTTAATTTTCATTTCGATGTTTTTAGCCAACACGGTTTACGCTTTTGGTGAAAATAAAAAAAAAAAAAAAAAACGCTTCATTAGCTCGCCAGCGAACAACTTCAAAATTTTCGAATTTTTCAAATTAACTAAATAATAATTTATAACTACAAAACGTATACATATATGTACTATTTCTAATTTGAAGATTCACGTTTAGTCTACAATTTATTGTAACCCCGCACACCATTGTAAAATAAATGAAACGTTAAAACATATAATGTAATTTAACAAATCTCAGCTAAATAACGAATATCGACAACTCGTTAATTTTAAACGCCAAACAGAATGTTGTAATTTCTCGAGTCCAAGTATTTTTACGAAATGATAAATTTTCTCGTTCCTCTGTTTACTGCCATAAATATTCCTCGCATAAATAATATTATCCGGTAATGGTATTTGGCTTCTACCCAAATGCTCACACTAATTTTATTACATCTGAACTTTAACTCATTTCTTAATAAATTTGTACGCTATGTTCATTACTAATTTATACATGAAACTTGACATAATTTGTTAACATAATTTCTACTAACAGTGATGCTTACAATATACATGTAAAAGTAGCATACAAAGTTCCTTAAAAGATAATTTTATTTACTGGTAAACAAAAAAGATATCACTCTTTGCTTCGGCTATAATCAATGCCAAAAACCCGAGCGTAAAAAAATATATTTTGGATTTATTTACAGAGTTCTAATGCATCCATTAAAGTATTAATTTACAAAAATAAGCTAAACGTAATTTATCTATTAAAAGTATTACCAGTATAAATGGAAGATATAATGACTCTATAAAAACAAAATTCGCCCAGTAAATACTAAAATCCATGCTGTTTGCTGTTACGGATAAAATTCTTTAATTTATACGTTTATTTTTATTAGAGTGAAACATTATATGTAACATATGGGCGCAGTATTGTCTTCGTTTGTCTGTATTAGCGCGCATAAATAACCGGTTGCTTGAGACCTAGTTTGTTTACGCTGCGCTAATCCAAAATGTGCCGCGCGAATTTAAAGACCGTTACTCATCACGCTCCATTGCATGTGTATGCAATAAGCATTTAATACACTGACGTGAATCTGTGTGTCATGTACTTGTATTTCAGTATTACAAAAGTCATGGTTTCTTTTACACTTTTTGATTTTAGAGAGAAACTTGTTTACTTTAATGTATATCTCTAATGACGCAATCTTATTTATAACTTGGAGTCAATATCTACATATATTGATCGGCAAAGAAACAAACTATTATTGTTACTAAAGAGGGAGTGTGAGTGTGACTTCTAAAGACGATAATGAAAAGTCGAAATATCACAAATAACAATAATTAATTTGGCCTTTAAGGAAGTAATTGAAGTTAAAATATGTGGTAAATATCCATAGGTGTACTAGATTTGCATGTACTAATAAATATGTTGGCAATGAAGATTGTCCCACGTAAATAATATGAGAAAAGTATGTAAAAAGCGTACAAAAAATGTATTAATCTAAAGTTTATACATCATCTTAACTGAGTGAAAAGCTGGCAATAGCACAAATTTTAAATTCGATTTAAAAGAAAATAAATGTTAAATTCATTTACATCTACTTTCTTGCAACAGCGGTTTGTTGTTGCCACGAAGTTCGTTAGGAATTCTGATTCTCTGAGTGTCATTTTGACCCTCTCCGACGGCCGTCGGTTCCGCCACTTATATTTGTATGCTAATTCTTACTCTGCAAGTCATTAATTATTTTTCGGGTGGTTGTACTGTCGTGTTGCTTTTGCGTCGAAACAAACACAACTTTTTGTTCCACTTTTTATTACTTATCATTTTGTGGAGTCGTAGAATTAATAATTTTGCTTATGCGCGAGAAACGAACGAACTTTAGTATCTTTTAAAATTGGTATTATATTCGACGCTGAAGCCGTAGGTCATAAAGATAACGTGATGAAATTTTACTGCCATTTTTATTCCTATCATATAATTATTGTAAATAGGGACATGGAGGTTAAGTCATTATAACCAATATAGTATATTTTTTAATATGATTGTAATCGGTAATATATATGCATATTTTAATTTTGTTTTCATAACGAGGTGTTTGTCATAACAAAACCAAACTACAATCCATATCTTTGCGGCTGTGATCGATTGTGCGGGCGACAACATTTTGTAAAGTACCAGTCTCGGAAAGCGTGATGGATGAGAACGAGTTTGAAACATCTGCACAAATTCTTTATTAATTGTCGTATATAAATTATACTGGGTTATGTAAAAAATTACCACTATTACAAATTGAAAATTTTGATTACTAAACAAGCTATTTCTTCATTTTTTTTATTTAATTGTACTAATCTAAATTATAGCATTTACTTTGTAAAGTCTATTAATTTAAAAAAGTATCTACAGGCTTTCAAAGAGATTAAAGTAATTATCATTTTAATATGAATATTTAAATTAAGACGCGGCGCGATGAATTCTTAACTAATTCAATACCCTTTCTGATTTTATTTACATAAGATATTTAATTCTTAGAAAACTCTTCCTAAAAGTCCCTGAATTTTTAGATATATTACAAAATTCTAATTAATTTTAGTCGTATAAATTACCTTGTTCCTCGCCACTTTAGATATAGCCATAATATATCTGCTGCATATCTTCTTTTATCTTTCCATTCGATCCAGGAATATATAAATAAATATTTATTAAGAGGCGATCGTGATTATTATCATTTACGATTAAAAATTATGTTAGCAAAAGTTTTTCAGGTTGTTTTTTTATTACTTTCTATTGGAATAGATATTTAATAAAAGAAACCCACATCGTATCTGTATTAATGGTCTTGTGTCCTGCACGTTCAGTTCATTTACAATACTGTCAATACAGTATGTGTACGCAGTTTTTCTGCGTTGCCTCATTTCTATTTGTCTGTGACAGTTCAATAGTTTAACAACTGTCTTCATTTTTAACAACTAGAAGAACATTCCAGTAGAAGAATTCTACTAGAAGAATATTAACCTAATGAGTATAAATGCGATATTACACATCGAATCTAAGATATGAAAAAAAATCTTTCAATGTGTTCTCTACATTCAGAGCGAGAGATTTAATTTCAGATTTCAAATCATACAAGATTAAAAACAACAAACTCAAAGAAATAAGTTTGCTAACAACTGTCGAATAATGTTAAAGCGAAATGGGTAGGAAATAAACTTCCTCGACCGTACACGTGTTTAAAAGTTAGGATTTCCCAAAGCGCTTCATCACCGTATATCCTATCATGCGGCTGATTTCTGTGTAAATAATTACATGTTTAAATGTCAAGATTTTCTTTTGTGCAGACGAGGATGAGGAGCCCCGTTGTGTGACATTAACTCCGCGTCATAAAGCTGCTATCAGATTTATAAGGAAGGTACGTATTTAAAAAATTTAATGATTGACTGAATATACTTAATAGTTTTATCGACAATTTACTTAAACAGTGTATTTTTAAATGTTAAATTGATGTATACAAATATTTAAAATTTGTTGACATTTACAAAGATATCAAATTTAAATATTACTAATAACAAATCATTTACATAAATAAATAACATTGTAATTTCTACATTAGTACACATCTGAATATTTGCATTTCTAAACGAAGCATTTATTGCCAATTATCATTATAAAAATTAAATTACTTGATAGCTTAAAATACAATTTAACATTTCGTTAGTTAGTAAAACGTAACAGAACACAGGTTTAATTACATTAATAGAACAGACACATAAAAAAGAACATTTCAACTTAACATATGCTAAAAAAAAAGAAAATTTATTCATTTACGTACTGGCAAAGACTTGATTCGAGACATTTTTTAACTTACAGTTGGAAATAGATGTCAAAATATTAAAAACAATGTTAAATAATATGCTTTTACTTTTATAATAAAAAAAAAACTTTAAATCAAACAAAGCAAAATTAAAATTATTAGAGTTAGTAGTTACTAGATTGCACTAGTTTACCATTTTATTTTAAAACTAGCTTGGTGTTATAGTCCAGATAAAAGTTATACACTCGTATAGCTCTATTGAGGGGTTTCGTAGCTCTTTATGTTTTTTATGTAGCAACAGTAAATATTTCTCCAATGTTTTGCTTCTATGAACAATATTAAATCACACCTAATTCAGAATCAGCAATAGTTGTTTGAACACTTCAAGAGAAAACACTAATACAGAATTGATAAACAAATATTTTTCTATTTTATATATACTCGCATAAGAGAAGTTCACTGAAATATTGTAATGTGGAATCCTGACAGATGAAGTATTTTGTGGCCCGACGTAAGTTTAAAGAAGCGCTAAAGCCATACGACGTAAAGGATGTTATAGAGCAATACTCCGCGGGCCACGTGGACCTGCTGGGCCGAGTGAAAAACGTCCAGACTAGGTAGTACCTAGCCAGAGACATCAGTACGCCTTGCACTTACCATTTACCTACTCTACGTCCTTCATACATTCTCTCGTTTGGTCTTCACACCTACTGTGTCTTGTTACGTTACCTCTGTAGACAAGTTTGGCTTCAAATCTAATACTTTATTATACATAATACTCTGTAGTGTAGTGTGTGTATCGCTATCTTTAATTTTCGACATACATTGTTGACACTAAGTTTCACATAAAAATTATATAGAATATGCCTTTACCCTCTACTTCACTTCACAATCTTTAATGTAGCTCTCTTCGATACAATTATGTTGGTGTTGTAAACAATAGCAACAGATATTACGTATAGATACATCCAAGTGGAACGAAAACCTTTGAATATTCTTTTCGCATGACTTACCGATTTACTCGTACACTAAAGACTCATTAGAATAGTGGTTCAATCATCAAGATTTGTTGCGCCGCATGATACGAGTCGTTAAATTGTAAACGTTTAAGTTGTATTAATAGTAAATTACTATACATTTTAATAGGACAACGTAATCGTTGCTTTCAGAAGTATTGTATTATTATCTCCATATGTCTTTAACTTAATTAATAAATTTAAACTAATAAAGCTATGAGACGAAGTTGCTTGCGTTTGTTATTTTTTATTTTCTATTAAACATAAAATATTAAAGAACATATCTAACAACGTTTTAATAATTTATACTAAAACAACGCCTATAAAACCAAAAACGACTTTATTAAAATAATAACTTTAATATAATTTAAATACTTACAAAATTTGTTTTGTTGTATTTTGTAAAAAAAACACAGTTTTTTGGTCTTTAAAAGTACAAAAATTCATAAACATTGTGACGAAAATTACACTTTAAAAAATGAGTAATAATTAAAACCGTAATTGTTTCACTCCCATTAAACAATTTTTAAATTTAAAGGTTCAAAATAAACGACGTTTAGTAATTAAAAGAGCACATTATGCAGGAATTTGCATCACTATCAGGAACATATTTTATTTTCGTGTAGCTCAAGTACTTTGTCGCGCGCAAGAGATTTAGAGAAGCATTGAAACCTTACGACGTGAAAGACGTCATAGAACAGTACTCCTCCGGGCACGCCGACCTCCTAAACCGCACCAAGAACTTGCAGTACAGGTGAGGTCCTAGCTGGTACTAGCTGGTCCTAGCGCAAGCGCCGCACCGGCCCCGCGACGCTTCCATCACTGCTCCTCATCAAATACCATCCGAAGTTACTTAGCATTTATACAAACAAGGAAATCCTACTTGTTTATTCTTTGACAACGATCGAGAAATACAAAAAAAAAACTTGTAGATTGTAGCATTGACACCGTATCTCCTTAGGAATAGGCGTAGGTATAAATCAAGAGCCTTTTGCGAAAAAAAAAGTATTTTTGCTGTGAGTTTCTTTTGTAAGACGGATAAGCTTAACTGAAGTAATAAAACAGTTTCGCTACTATTTTATGTCTTGTTTTTGTCTAATAGGGGTATTTTATAGTAAGTCGAAGCTGATTAGATTATTATTTACTCTTTAGGAATACATTCTTATTCTGTTTAGATTTTTAAACTTCCTTGAAATTAACAACGTAGTTGAAGTCAAACATTTGCATTAAAATTTACTTCGATATTTTATCCTTTCAGATCGTAATGTTTATATAATTAATTTGTTAAGGATTGTATGTATGTATAGATTTTTCTGAAACAAATAAAATACGAAAAGAAAACAGGCGCTGTGTAAACCTACAATAAGTTTATGTATTTCAAAATGACTTGTAGACGGATAGTTATGGTAAATCTTTTAACTTTCAGGCTCTGATCTGCTTTACTCTATTTACGTATTCTTCATGAATTATAACTGTCGCCAGTGCACGACAATCATTTAGCTTTCTTACTAGAGCTTTGCACGACATCTACGCTTGCACTATGTCACTACTCGTATAATTTACTTGTCTCATGTCCTTTGTAGTTATAAAATAAAAGTTGGTTAGATACATTTTTTATATATAATTAGTATTTTGATAGTAATATTTGTTTCCTTAAAATATGGGCATTATGTTTATTTCAGTTAAATTTAGAATACAGAGTAAAAATGAATCATTACAATATTGTATTGATCTAAAATACCGATGATGATATTTATGTAGATAAAACAGTGAGCTGTTAGTAAGTTGATGCGCTGATTGTTTTGCTACATTTTTTCAAATTATATAAATATATTTAATTTCCAACACATATGTACATATAAAAGCTTCTACCCGTTTCTCTACCGTCCAGGACGTATGTGTAAAGGCAACAGAGATGCCTCAAGGCCTACTGTAACAAGTGACCTTAACCTAATAGAAGTTTTAAAATTGCACTAATAGAAAGTTACTTTTTCATAAGTGGTAGACACTCCGGAGCTACGGTCCACTTAGAACTGAATATAACTTTGTGTTTGTTCTCAAGTGAACTATACAATGTTTGAGAATTTAATTTCATAAAATAATCATAAAATTTTCTAATTAATTATAATAACATATTAGTAAACTGACATTTAAAGTAAACCTTGATATAGAGCTTTGGTTATTTTAGCGAACGCTGAAGCAAATTGCCTCAAAACAATTCTATTTCAGCGTTTTGTTATTGTTTTCACTGTGAAACTATACAACTACCCAAAGTTTGGTATAAACAGATTTTAGTCCAGAGCCGTGGCGATACAACATCAAAAAACATGTTTCATCGCTCTTATTCTAAGAATAATTAATTCGTTGCAAAGAAAACATTACAATTAATATAAAAACATTATTATTATATGTTGTTCAGTTATGTTTTCTTCTGTGTCTTTTAATGCGTTTGTTCACAATTTTGTGGCATATCTACTATATTAGAACATGTTTTTATTTATGCAAAATATAAGCGATTGTATTTATTTGCATAAGAGAGGAACCTCAGCCTTGGCGTCATCAACATTAATAATGCAAGTTAATCCGTACCTCTCCGCACTTCTTGCTCGAGCCAACTTAGAGGTATATTAAAAATTCTGCCCAAAGTCTTGTAATTCACTGATAATTTAGTAAAGCTAACCCAAATAACCATACAACGGTAACCGCGGAATAAATATTCCCTTATACGAAGACAATTCTTTGCATAATGCTCATATTTTTTAACGTTTAATGTACTTTTACCTGTATTACAAGAAGTTGTTTGATGTGAGTATTGGTATTAACTTAACGTACTTACAAATTTTTTTATGTTGTGTAAACATAGCGTAATGCATATTATATTAAAAGCATACATTTAAATTCATTTAATATTAACCCGCAGGTTAGATCAAATTCTCGGCAAGCAAGGCTCGAAAGCTAAAGACGTGTATGCATCCAAAATCAGCCTAGCTTCCAGAGTTGTAAAAATTGAAAGACAGGTAATATCTGCCGTTTTAACAGTTTTATTATCGGTATCCATTACAAAAAATACTGTGTACAATTTAAACATGTCAAACTATTTGCAGGTAGATGACATAGAAAGTAAGTTAGATCATTTATTAGAAATGTACGAAGAGGATAGACGTACGACAAGGCGGCTGGGCGCTGCTAACGGCGAGAGCGGCGGTTCTGGCGAGGGAGCCGGGCGCGCGCGGCCCGCTATTGCCGACAAGCAGTGCTCGGAACCCAACTCCCCCGTGTCGCGCGCTTTCGAGCCCGCCCCAGGGCCTACCGCTCTCGCCGCCCCACACCTCAAGCGGCCCATGAATAGAGGGTATTCTGATCTAGGGACGAGATTTATGCGCAAAAAAGTCATCGTCAAGTAAGTTAATCTTATTAAACCAACCAGTTTGCTTATAATTTTAATAACTATCTTATCGATCTCCAAATCCACTGAGCTAAATTAATAAAGAACTATGGAATAACGCAGTTAAGACTTCTATCTACATCTTCGATTAGCCATTTGTTGTTTTGTTTAACATGTTTAAATTACATATATGATTTCAGAACATCGTCATCGAATAGAAATGGTGAATCGCCGCGAGACGATGAAGTAGTTATAGTAGTGCCGACTGACCGCGAGGACACGCCGCCCCGCCTCGCCACTGACAGCTCCGGTAAATACCTTTCTTATATACCTAGCTGTAGTCTACAGTAAGATAGAATTTTATATAAAAGCTAATTTTAAGTAAAAAGGAAAATTATGTTATAATGTTACATTAATTCTCCTGTTTTAAAATTTCGAATTTAATTATTATTTCATTAACTGTCTCAATGCTGTCTACTGGTGAAATAACTGTAAATATGTAAATAACAGTATTGTATTATTAATAAATGATTCTCCAATAACTTTACAATTACTAGTTCTGTTAGAGTGAATTGGCCTATTACGAAAACATAATTTAAGAGGAGCTAAACATTGAATTGAAGTAGATGAAAGATATTATTAGAACTTTTTTCATACGATCTCCAACGAATATTCTCCACTGCTGCAGCAAAGTATATTTCCACTGTGCCGCGACATCGGGACAACCCGTAGTCAACCACGATTAGGCAATTTGCAGACAGTGCGAAGGGGCTCCTAGTTTCCTTTCTATACTTTAAACAATAAATTAACTACTTAGCCTTGATAATTCTGCTATTATCACTGTCTCAGTATGAATATTATGCTAAATAACGTAGACGCTACATCATTTTTAAAATGTTTGTAAATAAAATAGTGACCAAAATAAAAACATCATGATTAAGCTTTCCAAAGCCTATCAGCTATCAGTAGACAGTTTACGCAGGACCACATCGTATTTCTAAAAATCATTTTATTCAGTTCAACAAATCATGCATATTGTTACTAATTAATTTATTAATCGGAATGTTGTAAGTGAAGCTATCTCGCGCTTTGTAAATACAAATTGGTGAATTACGAAACATCAATCAATGGTCACTGACGCGCTCGACGCAGCCGAGATAAGTTTGGCGTCTGTCCGTGAGTAGCCGCCGCTGGCGTCGCTGCCGTCACTGCCGCACGAACGCTTTCAGTACATCACATGTAGGCGTAGTGTATTTCTAGCTTAACCCGCTTATTGTATTAATATACATTGTATCTCATGTTGTTAGTTTAATATGACTTGCTGTTTATTGCTCAATTATAAGATTTACATTCACTGTATCAGTTATGACATAGACATGCACAGTGAGCCGGCTATTATGTAGCGCCGTATAGATATTGTTCTAACACATAGTGGCTTGAAATATTAATTAACCAATTGAACATCGTTGCCATAGGTATAAATATGCGAATATTACAAAATTGCAGCATCTTATGAAGACTATTCGTCGTCGACCTCTCTCTGACCCCCGCGGCGGGAGAGCCCCCTCCCACCCGGCCGGCCCAGGCTGCGTGAGTCCTAACCTATCCCCTATCGATGTGTGGAATGTGTATAATAGTTTCTCTTTGTGCCCTCCCTTTTGCTCTTTTTGAATGTATTATTAAGGTGTTGTATTTAGTACTACCATGTCTCTCATTTTACCTTTCGACCTACATCTGCCAACGCTCATATATTTTAAGTTCCTAGCAACAAATGTTTCATGTAGTTATTTAAAAGTCCCCAAAGCAATGTTTTGCGTTATGTTGAGGTATTTCAATTGTGGAGTACATGCATTTTTTATAACACTAACATTTACAACAAACAACATACATAATCTATTTAGTGTCGCATGCATTTTTATCTTGCTCTGTAAACGTAGATGTATTTTTGTCTTACATTTATGTGTTATAAATAAAATTATACTAAAGCAACTTCAACATTTACATCTAAACCTAAATACATCTGTTATTTTTCTTTAATTGAAAAGTAAAATTTTAAGAGCATGAAATTACATCATAAAAATACTATTATATAAAAAATATCTCGACCTGATTATAAATAACACTATTCGGTTTTTAACACAAGGACACAAGAATTAGTAATACGTATTTCAATCGAATATATCATATATGTTTTCATAGGTATTATCAGTCAGAAGGTTACTGCTACCCACACAACATCCGTGTCTTCTATCTATACCACAAAGTAATTTTTGACCACTATTAGACCAAAATAAAATATGATATATTTTAGACTACATTATAAACTAAATCGAAGTTTGTCGCAAAAACGTCTTATCGCTAAAAGTGTTTCTAAAATGTTTTCATTTAAACAAAAAAGTTGTAAATCGAATTCGAAACTACAGGAAATATTGAAGAAGTTTTTTATGTTTATATTAATGCAACAATTAAAAAACAAAAAATAGTTTAGCCCCAATAAAACTGAAGCTGAAAGGACGGGTGCTGAAGGATACAGGTATTATCTGGTCTCACAATATCTGACAGCACTTTTCAGTTGTACGATCTCCCGACGGGTTGAGTGACTCGTAGTTTAAACGGTGTTCAATAACTCGAATATATGGAATAGTGCCAGCTCACACATCGAATGCACGATGCGGAGCCGATGATAAAGAAATATATTTCTTTTGACTGCGATCTATATTTCACACTCAGGAAATCGACAAACATTAACCATTATTAATGTTTTAAATAATGTCCTATCGATAGTATTAGTTTTATCTTACCTTGCAATTACAATAATTGTACTTCTGACAAAATTAGGTGAACACCTATTTCACGAAGTTACAACAATATTAAGCCTGTGCCAATTATTCCTTCTATGTTCTGTTTAAGACGGTATAGAATAAATCAAAGCAAATATCACGTAATTGTTTAGAGTAAAAACAGTATTTAATTAAAATTTACATCCCATTATTTTGTACGCACTTCCTCAGATTAAAAATTATTTTGTGTTGTTTAGAACGCTAGAACTTTTTCGTTACTACCTTAGCAATGTGCCATTAAATTTGTATATACTCGTAGAATTACCTCATTTATGTTAGTAACATTCATCTTCGTTCGATTATACTTGTCATCTATGGAGCATCATAACATAACTGCCATGTTAAAAATGTATATCAATTACATGTTCCCAGAAGTTTGCGCAAGCTGTTCAGTGGAGGTAGAGACGGAAGCGGAGGCAGGAGGCACGCGCTCAGGGAGTTCCGGGTCACCATCGTGGTGCGAGGGCGAGGGCGAGGCGGGGGACGAGCGGGGATATGGCTCGGGTGACTCCCTCGCGGAGGACGCCGCGCTGCTCGGCGCCGCCCAGGGCGCACACCCTCCCAGACTCCTGCGCACACAGAGACGAGACGTCGCCGTCGACCTGCACCTGCTCAGGCCCGACGTATGAGCTACACAACTCCTCGTGCTGCGCACCTCGCAAACACAGGGGCCTCTACTTTAATCGCACAATAACTCTAGCCGCTCACGAACATTACTTGTCATAGACGCTTCAGCATAGAATTTGTCGGAGCAGAAAAAACGCTTCAATGATTAAAATAAAGTATTATTTAAATATGTAAGTCTCGTGCAGTGATTATTAATAGACAATTTGTACAACGATTTAAATAGTGTGATTAAATTAAGATTATAATTCCACTCATTTTAGATGTATATAAAAGACCAAAGACTCAAAAGTAGACATGGTACCTTTTATATGCAAGTACATAATTTAACTGACTACGCCTATCTCGTTATGAAATTTTGCTTACATGATATAAATTATGTACGAAATCTATAAATAGTGGCTTTTGAGTTAATCTTCATTAATGCAAGTAGATGTTCCTTTAAAATTGTACATAAATATTAGATTAATTTTAGTCAATATATTAGAATATCCCAATCTGAAAGCCACAAATAACAGCTGCGGCGGAACAAACCACATCTGCCTTGATATAATAGTTAGAGTAATATAAAAGTTCTTAAACTTTCCTTCGCACGTCCCAATAAGTAGATTTTTATTATTAAAAAAGTAGATAATCGTAAAACTTTTATCATGTTAATTCAACAAATTCGATATTGATATCTTCTCCTCGACAGATTTTTCATTTGTTGATGATCCTCGTTTGTAATAAAGCACATCTTACATGCTTTTGTAAAATAGATGGCTAACATGTTTTTTTCTCAATACTAGAATTTCATATTTACAAGTGAACTGTGATAAACTTTTGAGTTTAATACTAGTACCCACACTAAGCGCATTTTACCGATAAAATAAAAAATATATAGATTACTATCAAATATTACTTTCAAGATTTCTATAAACACAACTCAAATAAATCTGCATCATTTATTATATTGCCGTTTTAACTTCAATATGTAAACAAATTATTTCTGACATGTAGACTATGAGAACAGGATTATCTATGTATATTCTTCGAATAGGACTAGAATGGTGGAGTCAAGTAAAGCGAAACCAATTTGTTTTTAAAGATTTTCGTGAAATTCCTAGAATCGACACACATTATTTAGTTTAATATAATTCAAGTTAACATTTTCTATTTTTTAAGACTATAAAATGTGTTGTAAACTGTATCGAATAATTTCATCTGAGAAAAAAATTCAGAACAAAATGGGACTTCTCTTTTATGTATTTTGTATACGACTTTAGTTGCTTATTGTGATGCAGATTTATGGTTGGCTAGTTCGTTTGACTTTTGAACCTATTCTTGAACCAATTTTTAAAGAAAAGTTTTGGATGCGTTTCTTGATAAAAGCAGGGTAAACATTTGCCTGACATTCAAAATATAATAATTATAAGACTTTAATGTTTATATAAATATTTATAGAATGTCACACTCCAACAACCAGATTTACACTGGTCAATGAACTAATAATTTAAATTGTACGGCTTTTGCCTAATCCAGCAAATAGCAAATAATAGTTACAATGGGACCTAGTTTTGCCTCACAAAATATTAATTATTAATTAACTGCGTTACTATAAGGCATTCTATCATTATATGTATAAATTCGTCTCGTATTTACATAGATCACGATATACCAAAAGGTAATAATAACATCGATATATTAGTAATTCAAGATTTTTATTAGATGCCCCAAGATCTACTTCTACATTAAGTCATGCGCCTCCTTTTTCTAAGAATACTAAATTTAAGATAAATCAAAGTAGGACAATAATAATAATAAAGATAACGATCATTAAACTAAGGCAGAAAATTATTATAATTCAAAATTGAATGAATATAAGATTATATTAAAAATATGCTGTTATCATTTCGAAGTGCATGAATTTGTAAAACATTATTTGCACTATTAAGGAGGCGCTTTTGACTTACTATGTTAAAAGATAAATATAAACTGTAAAAAGTGTTGCCAGAATAACTGTAGACATGAAACTTTTTTATTATACGTAATATTTATTGGTATTTGTTTGATTCAAATATTATGATCTTAAGTACGACGTTAGATTATAAACAGAAAATATATCTGAGCGAGACTACCATATACATACTCGTACTGTTCAGTAATCAAATAATAACTGGCAACGCTTTATAATTTTCATGAGTTCCTCGTGATTATATTTTTATTAAAAAATAAAACAAAAAAAAGGCGCAAAGACGCAAATGATTCTGGCCACGGATGTTCCGTAAATTTTATTTTATGTATTGTAGTAACAGAGTTCCTTAAGGTAATGAAAAAGTTGTTTTAACATACGTACTTTGATAATTTATTATCACTGTCAGCACCATTTTATGTAATAAGTAAAATTAACTTTTTTTAATGTAAAATAAGGATAATCAATTTGTCTATATAGAAGTTGAATAATAGTTTTCCACTTCGAAGATGCTTATTAAGTAGATTTAAAATTCCGCATTCAAATGACCAAAATTATGCTTATTTATTTGTATTTCATGTAACATAATATTAGGAAGATACTTAAATAAATACGTATTTATCAACCGTTTTGTTAAAAAATTTTGTTCAAGATGGCAGCTACTAACTGGTTTTGATTACTAAGAATGTTGTTATCCAAAGTTAGGGTTTGAGTACAATTTTGCTTTAAGCATAAAAATAAAACCAGAATAGGTGAAATGTAAGACTAAACAACAAGATCTTGCCCTGTTATTATCAAATGAAGAAACCGTCTGTATGCAAAAGCGTTGAAATCCATCAAAGGATTCTCGAGGATTTCGGATTTTAATACATATACTTATTAATAGTGTATTTTTGAACTACGGGTTATTTCAGCTACTGCTAGCATTATAAAATTTTGCGACAGCCCCACAGAAAGATCCGCACGATCTGAGTGATTATTATGAAAAAAAATCGACTTTCTTTTGAAAAAAAAATCATCTAAATTTCAACGCTTTGGTATTTTGTATTATTATGAAAAAACCGTAATTATTTCAATAAATTATATGAAATTGTTGTTTAATAAATATCCTAAATTAATTTTTATATTTGTTAAATGCATTTAATTATTTTATATATCAAATTGTTACGATATCGGTAATTGAATAAACTAAATAATAGTCATGTTTGTTTTTCTAAACATAACACCTTTATTGGAAAGCTGTTGGAGATCACTACAAAATTATAAATTCAACAAATTGTGACATTTTTGGCAGATTTGCAAGAGTGTATATTGAAGGTGGATGTATGTCTTATTTGTTATGTTATATTGTGGCAAACGAGCAACCGGCTACCAAAGAAAGAGGACATTCCCTTTCCTATTGGTCCCTTACTCCATCTATCTCACGTTTAAGGAAACGAAATGGTAGGAAGGGAAATGTGACAAGAATTATGCTTCTGTCACGCACACTCATTGGAAAAAGCGCATGATTGCTTCCATTTCACGCCTGCTCTGTCTGTCGTGGTATTTCACCGAGCGAACATCCCCAGGACGTGGTTTTTAAAGTACCTCTTCGACTAGCCTGGGCCTGAATTGACAAGTTGTTGGATGCCGAATGCGTAGGGCCGATTTTTGTGGAATGTATTGGGGATGACCAATCCAACAGTGGGCAGATAAAGATAACAAGGCAAGGTAACAAGTCTGTTCAATATGTAAAGTGAACGACTTTATTATTCTATTTAGAATAGCAGACTTGACATTTGAATCTTAATTAAACATCTTCAAAAAGAAGCGATAAACGATTCAAACGGTAAAAAATAAATAATACGCAGAATTTAATTTATTTACTAGAAATTTAATTTCATTACATTTCATAGTTACATACTATTAGATTTATTTAAACTATAATTATAGATTTATTTATACTTATATATTATTACAAATATATATTTATATTAATACACGATTGCAGCGTGGCATGCGGGGCAAAATGTTGTTGACTGTGGGCCATATTAAAACATATTTCTGTCACTGTCACTGTCAAAATCAAATTTAAACAAAGCGAGAAAGTTGTGTTTGTGTAATGTATGTAATGCGTGAATTAATAGTTTTTTTGTTATATTTGAAATCTATTACTATTATAAATTCTTAAGAACTACCACATTTATAATTTGCAATAACTTGTAATCACCTGATAACTGACAATGCCCAGTCAATACGAGGAAGAACGTGTTTGGGAGGGATCAAACCACAATCAATACGAAGTTTGTATTTTATTTAGAATTCTGCTAATTTACCTATGTTATTTCATATTCAATTCAATAAAGTTTCGTTTCTTTTAGGAAGAAGGTGGAGAAGATGTTATTGACAATCCAGAAGAAGTGCTACAAGAATGTTTGGAAAAGTTCAAAACACCGGACTATATCATGGAACCGGGCATATTTGGTCAGCTGAAGCGATATTTTCAAGCTGGCGGGAATCCGGAACAAGTTATTGAACAATTATCAATAAACTATAATGGTGTAGCACAGATGGCAAATTTGTTAGCTGAATGGCTTATTCTCGGTGGTAAGCCTTGTAATTATTTTATTTAATAAAAAACGTCATTCATAAAATACTTAATAGCAATTCATTACTTTTGTTTATTAAAACTTATCTTCCCTATTAATTGTTAATCAATCTACATTGTTTATTATAAAATTCTACGCACAATTTGTTTAAAAATCTATTAGTTTGATGTTAGATTTTCTCTTGTAGGTGTCAAAGTGACTGAAGTGCAGGCCATGGTGGAAAATCACCTTAAGGATATGATTTTAAAGACATTTGATCCCAAAAAAGCTGATACCATTTTCACAGAAGAAGGTGAAGTAAGTATTCTTTAGTATGGCCTTAAATTCCATGAAAATACACTTATGGATAATAAATTAAGCTTTATATGTTTTAATAACAATGTCTTCAATTATTGTTTAAGAATAGGCTTTAGAAGAGATAATTGAAAAGGCATAATAACAAAGAAGGGGTTGTGAAATATGAATAATACAGTAATTTATGTGATAAAATAAAAGAGTGGCTGGGTTGTTAATCAAGCATGGATTTGCAATTCTGCTCCTAATTAGAGATGATTCAAAAATATGTGTTGCCCAAATGTATTTGTATACCATTGTTTTCAGACACCAGCTTGGTTAACAGAAATGATTGAACATCCCACATGGAGGTCTTTGATATACAGACTGGCTGAAGAATACCCAGATTGTCTCATGTTGAATTTTACAATTAAGGTAAAAAAATAATAGGATTTGATTTAAAATGTTGGATAACTCTTTTTTTAGTAATTTGCATTTCCTCTACAGCTTATATCAGATGCTGGTTTCCAAGGAGAAATCACCAGCATATCAACTGCAGCACAACAAATAGAAGTATTTTCAAGAGTTCTCAAATCAGCTATTGTTGGATTCCTACAGAGTTCTGACGACTGGCAGAATAGTGTGAATGAATGTGCTGTATGTTGGTTATTCTATTCTTTTTAATACTAGCTGTTGCCCGCGACTTCGCCCCCGTGAAATTATGAAATATAGCCTATGTTATTCACAGGTATTCTTTCTAACGGTGAAAGAATTTTTAAAATTGGCCCAGTAGTTTTTGAGTTATTTCAATACATACAAAAATACAAATCTTTCCTCTTTATAATATTAGTATAGATAAATAAAATATGTTATCAATCTGTCCATACACTATCAAAAGTGATATTTTTACTGTCCAGAAAATGGTTTGCCACGGTGCTCAAACATATGTATACAGTCAAGTTATTGTTCACATTCTATCACAAGAGCCAAGAGGTGGGGCAATCATGAAAAGACTTGGACAAGAAATTACTCGTTGCGCACAACAAAGGTAATTATAAATTATTATAAAGGTCTTGTACAAATGTAATTTTTATTCACTGAAACAAGTGTATTGTATTCTAATGACTACTAAGGGACAAGAGCTTAAAGTTTTGTACTATTTGAAATGTTTCTTACACATGTTTATAGCTTTTTGTTGTTGGTGTATTTCAAGAAATAATTTTAAGTATTTCTTTTCATTTGGTTTATTTCAAGACGGTCCTGAGTAATGTTGATAGCAGACAGGATGTCTGTAAAAATTAGTCCAAAACATTAAAGTTTATACAACTGTGCGTCAATTTAACATCAGTGAGATAAGATGATGACTGTTTGTCTTGTCAGCGGTCATGATGTAACCCCAATTACGCTGGCGCTAACGGCAGGCGAGTCGTGGCGCGGCGCACGCACTGCGCTGGCGGCCATGTTGTCGCGCGATGCACTCAATCCGGCAGACATATCGGTGCTGTTCCGCGCATACACGCAACCTGAACCTCCACCGGTTCATTTGTTAAGAATACCACAGTTTCTAGGTACTACAATTTCTTCATCACTTTTTTCTTCCTAGACTACCTAGACTTAACTGGCATTGAAACATGTTGCTTTTTTAGAAAACCATCTTCAGATTTAGAATCAGGTGTTTATTAATGTACTGTAAACTGTTTTGTTAACTTTGTAGAACTGCTTGTGGACTCCTTGTTTAAATCGGGTTCAAAATTGAATCCTGAGCACAAATCAAAGTACATGTATTTGCTGGCATATGCTACCAGTGTGTGTGAAGGAGTGACCCCGGGCAGACCTATCAAAGAGGAGTTGAAAGCCACGGTACAAGCTATAGAAAAAATCCACACAGTGTGTAGCAGCTCTGCTAGCTCAAGTGAACTCATTGCAGAACTTCCCACACTGTATCATTGTATCAGGTAACATTGTCTTCTTTTTGTAAATTGTTATATTGTATTTTTTATTTTACTATATTCTGATTTACTCAAAACTAAAAATTTGATCATAGTAAGAATAAGTAATTCTTCTGGTTACTTACTTACTACTACTACTTACTCAACCAATTTAAGCTTTAGCTGTTTAAACAATTCAGTTTTTTCACTTTTGCATGTGGATAGTTACAGAAAAATTAATAATGTACTATTACTCTATTCTTTGATGCTGAAATCATATATGTATAGTCCATTTTGTTTTGTAACAGATTCCCAGTTGTAGGGATGGGTGTTCTAGTGTGGGTAGAATGTGTTGTAACGGAGCCTTCATACTTCAAGTTGTGCACAGAGCACTGTCCCGTGCACTTGGCGTTGCTAGACGAAGTGGCTTCTTGCCATCAGTTACTGCATCACAGGCTATTAAGATTGCTCATACAACTTTTTGAATCCCCGCAAGATGAATTGGAAATTCTAGTACAGGTATTTTCACATGTTTAAGCTACTTTCAAGCATTCTGGAGCTGAAAAATGTTACCCATATTAGAATTAATAATAATTAGGAATAATAATTCTAAAAATTTTATCTGAATAAATTTCATTTACTTTACACAAAATTATTTTCCATAGTCATTAAGTCTGAAATGGCCAATTATTCATTAATTTTATTAAATGTCTATTAATTAATGCAGTTTCGAAATAAGAATACATATATTCTTTGCAGTTGGAATTGAAGAAAATGCTCCTCGATAGAATGGTGAACTTGTTGAGCCGCGGCTGCGTGGTGCCCGTGTTGCGATACATAAAACAGTGTTGGCAGCGCGGCGACACTGATATATCACTTATTAGATATTTCATCACAGAGGTAAATATCTCAGTTCAGGAAAATTTTATCTTGAAAATGCATAAATATATTATTTCCGTATTATACTTAGGTACTGGATGCAATTGCGCCGCCTTATACACAGGAATTTGTTCAATTGGTTCTTCCAATGGTCGAAAATGAGGAAATAACTGGGACAATGCGAGCAGAGGGGGAAAATGATCCAGTGTCAGAGTTTATAGGTATTTTTCCTTATCTTTAACCCTAATTTAAAAAGGTTTATTAAATATAAAAAAAATAATCAAGGACTATCTCGGTAAAAATAAATAAAAATTTGTTTGAATTAAAAGAATAAGTTTAGGTAATCTAATTCCAATTTTTTATTTTCAGTACACTGTAAGGCGCATTATGTAGTAACATAAGGGAATTGTTGACGAAAATAAAAGTATTTCAACAATTTAAGTATTTTATTTCATGCTACAACCCCCTATTAGCTTTTCTTTCATAATATCTTTTGAGAGCTTGTTCAAACACTTCTCCAACAGTACGCTTTTTCCATATATCTATTTTCTTAACAACTGGTGGCTCAGGTTTACTCTCAACTTTTTCGATCTTTTCATCCATTACGACAGGTTTAACTTCCTTTTCTGTAGAGATGTCATCTTTACTGGTATCTTTTTGTTTTGCAGATTTTTCTTCATCATTTTTGCTCCTACCATCTTCATCACTTGAATCATCTATAGAAAAGTCTGAATCTGCATCTATATTTGCATCAAATTGCTTAGATTTCTTTGACATTCTAATTTCTTCTAAATTACATCTATTAATTTCTTCATCAGAATCATCAATTTCTCCTTCCGACATGTTTTTGTGATCTGATGATTTTCTTTTCCTGTAATTCCTCTTTTTACTTATTTGTGTTTTATCATCTTTCACCTTGATTTCGGATTTTTCATCATCAACCTTTCCATCGCTACTTTGTACCATTATATCATTATTCTCCGGTTTATCAGATCCTAACTTTTGTTCATATAAATGTCGATAGAAACCACCTGAAAAGAAACACATTTGTTATATACAAATTAGTTCCTGTAATAATTTACGAAAAATAGTGGATCAATAGTAAAACTCTTTTTAAGCTCAATAAATGATTAATTACCTAGATCTTTTTGTTTTGTTACATCTCCAATACTTTCCAAATATTCTTCATATTTCTCTTTTTCCTCTTCCTTTCTCAATTCTTCCAATTTCTGTTTATAAGCTGAAGTAACAAATACTTCCTTATCTGCAAACTCATCTCCCTCTTTTTCTCTTTCTTTTTGTATCTGAAACGCAAATATTATTCTTTATAGTTGTAAGGAAGCTTAAGTGAGCAGTTTACTTCTTTTACTGAATAAAAAAAAGATTTAATACTTTGTGTGTTAGTTATTACAAATTACCTGTCTCTCTAATCGCCATTCATTTTCAATCTTTCTCTTATTTGCTGCTTTCATCAAATTTTCTATATATTTTGGTTTCTTTTGTTCTTTACTCTTTTCTTTTTTCTCCTCCTTTTTACTGATCATAGAGTCGTATATCTCATCATACTGGTACACGGTAGGGTCCTCAGTTATAGCCTTTTCTTGTGATATTTTACTCTGAAATATTACAAATAATTTATTAAATTCACTACAAAAATATCCTCTTGTATAAGGTACATAGTATGGCTAGTTAATTAGTAGAAATATTTATATGTAATGAATAAACTGAAAAACTACTGTTGTTTTGATTACCTGTCTATTAATGTTATCACTTGGTCTTAGAAGAACTAGTTTTTTCTTAGGTTCATCATCAGAATCTGTGTCATTGCCAAAAACGTTACGAGTAGCCTGAAAGGTGGGTTGTTTGATCTT